TCCTACAAGAAACACTCATGATCATTTCTCACACCCCCCTCCATTTTTCCAACATCAATGTGAACTAAAACTAATTCTTTTCACCCAGTGATTCTAAAACATAATCCTTCCCACTGGGCTCAAACATCACAGTGTATTTAGCCCTCTAGTGGCTCCATAGCAAGTTCCAATTTGAAGGACAATACGTAATTCTCCCTGTTGCCACACTCTCCTTTCAATAAAAAGCCTAGTGATTCCAGCAGTATCTTGGATTCCAACCTTCCTCTGAGATGCTCTCTTTTCTTTCTTTGCCAGTGCTCTCTGATCAAAAGACCTGGAGTCATCCCTGACTCTCCCCAGCTTCACACCTCTGGCAAATTGTCACCATTAGCATTAAAATACAGTCTGAATCTGGCCAGACCCACCCCCTTCTACCACTCTGGTCCAAGGCACTCATCTCTTGTCTAGATTTGTCACTGATTTCCTGGCTTCTTTCTACTCCTAATCAACTGAGGTCTATTTTTCATACAGCAGTTAGGTAAATCTTCTAAAATCAGGGTAATCATATAATTCATTATCCAAACCATATCAGGACTACTAATAATTTCCTAAAACCAATCCATCTACTAACAGAGAAGTTGGATCATGCCCTTAGGCTCAAAACTTGCCAGTGGCTTCTCTGCTCTAGTAAAAAAGCCCAACTCTTATGATAGCTTCCAGGGCCTGTCAGATCTGTGAAGGGAGGACAGGAGGGCCACTTCTATCTCATCTTCTATCACTTTCCCCCTCACCTGTGGTCTCTGCTTAGAATGCTCAGCCCCATATAGCTAGATGGCTTCTTCAGTTCATTCAGTGATGGCTCAAGTATCATCTTACTGAAATCTTCCCCGGACAACTTACTGAAAACAAATCAGCATCCCTTTCCACCTTCACCCTGCTTTATTTCTTTCACAGAACCTATTACACATTATTCCTTGTGTTTCTCTCTGCTGGGATGCAAGCTCCATAACAGCAGGGATGCGGTATCCTGGCACCTAACATAGTGCCTGGTACGTAACAAATATTTGTTGGGTGAATAAATTTATATGCTCTTTGGTACTCCTTTCAAATCTAAAAGGAAAAAGACAGGCAATAATCACAGTGAGCAGGAGACACTTGTAACTGAGAAAGCATCCAAAATTGACCTTTATTACCTGGGGAGAAAGGTGCTACATTTATTTGGTTGGTGAGCTCCCTGCCTGGGATAGAATGATGGGCCTCTCTTGATCTTCCCTCTTCATACTCTCCAGTGTAACCTCAGAGCAAAAGGTTGGAATAACTTTGTAACCTCTGGTTTGCTCCAGGGATCTGGCAGCGTGTAATCTACAGCACAGGAGCCTTAGCATTAGTTAGGATGTCCAAGGTTCCAATTCTTTGGGTAGGAGGGCTGATTTGATCTGCTATGGTCAGATCCCTCTCTTGGTTGGCTAAGGACCCCAGGACAGTTTGGAAGGTTTTACAGTCTTCTGGAATGGAGGCAGACTTTGGTACTTCTCGCCTTGCTTTAAACACACTGGGCTGGATGACAGTTCGGCTCTTGGAAAGCACCTGATAGGTATCAAATGTCTTGATTCTTAAATATGCATGTGACTGACACTTCAGTTATTGCTACAACCCTACAAAGTATATACTGTAGGTTAGAGTTTGACACAAAGCAGGTCAGTCTTCTGGGTTCAGTGACCAAAAGCACCATACCACAAGAGGTCTCAATTGTAAGGTGTTCTTACAGCTGAGACTCAACAGTTCTATTAGTGATGCTCCTCTGCATGAGGCATCTCGGGCCTACTCTGGTCCACTCAGCACACTGGGAAGATGTTAAGCTCATACCAAAGAAAACCTTGGCTTCTGTATTTTTTTTTTTAAACATTTTATTTATTTATTTGACAGAGATGACAAGTAGACAGAGAGGCAGGCAGAGAGAGAGAGGAGGAAGCAGGCTCCCTGCTGAGCAGAGAGCCTGATGCAGGGCTCGATTCCAGGACTCTGAGATCATGACCTGAGCTGAAGGCAGAGGCTTTAACCCACTGAGCCACCCAGGCGCCCCTTCTGTATGTTTTTTGAGACTTTCAAACTTAAGACCTTTTTTTTTTTTTAATAAGAAAAGGGAGTACAAGATGCTATAAAATAAGAAGAAATACCTTAAATTAAATTAAAATTGACATAATTGTTTGTAAAGCTAAGGAGAGGAAGAGGGAGACAGTCACGGGGAGAGATGCAAGATAACCAGAAAGAGCAGTTCACAGAGGTAGAAAGACAAAGAGAAAAAGAAGGGGGCAGGCATCAGGAATAAAGAAAGAGAAAGGACGTGAGGGCTGCGGAATTTCCACCATACCCAGGCAAACTCCTCTGCCAGGGAAGGGGTATCATTTCGGTTCTACTCTTCCCTAGTTTCAAACATTAAAACAAGAGACCTTATTCTGTGGCCACTGAACTCCTTGAAACTATGTATTAGTTTAAGCCACATATAATTGTCTAGAGTTGACCATTTCTGAATTACAAAAACTGTATTTTAATATGCACGTGCATTTTTCTTGGGAGAAGGTCCTAGCCTCATTAGATTGTCAAGATAACAGTACTTCCTTCCTTCCCCCCAATAACGGTTTTCAAACTCTACTTTGAGAGGATCTGGCTGGGACATTATTGACATGCAACAATAACATTTAGTAGGAAAGAAGAAGTTGAACCTTAGGATGCCTGGGTGGCTCAGTGTATTAAGCCTCTGCTTTCAGCTCAGGTCATGATCTCAGGGTTCTGGGATCAAGGCCCGCACTGGGCTCTCTGCTCAGCAGGGAGCCTGCTTCTCCCTCTCTGCCTGCCTCTCTGCCTACTTCTGATCTCTCTCTCTCTCTCTGTCAAATAAATAAATAAAATCTTAAAAAAAAAAAGTTGAGTCTTAGATAATGTAGCGCCCCTTTCATCATATTTAAATTTCCAATGTGGGTACACAAGGATAACATACAGATCTTTAAGTTTCGGAACAGCAAACTGAGATCTCTACTTGATGGATACAAATAACCAGCTTTATTTGGGTAACATCTACCTGGACTTGTCTAATCTCCCATGGGGGGGGGGAAATAAAAGGAGCAATAGGGATTATTTTCAAAATGATGGCTGTGCATATTCCCTACAACAAAGTGAGAAAACTATATACTTCCTACATAGAAAAACATCCACAAGTATACTTAATTCTCTGTGATGTAAAGACCCCAATACTGTAAACAGGTGAATTCTACTCCTGGTCTGCAAGGTGGACCAGAGCCCTTATAAGAGAAGATATCCCCAGACTGTCCAAAGGGTTTTCCCAGAGGAGACAGCAGAATTGTGTGCTGTTCTCATCAAATCCTGGTGAACTATGAGTCACAAGGAAGCATCTGTGGAAGCTGCAAACACCCCTTTCTCAAAGAAACGAGGTTCCTCAAAAAAGCTGAATTTGCTGAGAAAACCCTCACTCCATCAAAACTACAGTCTGATGGACCCAACCAAATATAAGACCAAATCCCCAATTTTCCAATTGTTTCTTTCAAGAGTTTCCAGAATTCCAGACTCCCTTTTCCATCTGTCTCACTGACTGCGCTTTCCTGGTGTTCTCTGCTCATTTTCCCCAGAACCAGCTCAGTGTACCCATTTCTGCTACCACCCCTTTCACTCTGGTATTTGGTACAAAATCCTTCCCCTTCTAGCCCCTAACTCTTTCTATACACGGAAGCACTTTGCTAACCATTCCCCCTCTTCCCATTATTCTCTAGAACTCACTCCTCTTTCCTGTCCTTTTTCCCCTTCAATACCTGCTGTCACCTCTCCTCCAACCCTTCACCTTATCCCCAACCCCCTGCCACTTCAGAGAAGTGACCTGACCTAAACTACCTTAATCAGGTAGTCATTGGTGGAAACAAGAGTCCCGATCTCCCTAAGCCACCTTTCAGCCGTCTAGGTCTGCCTCCTTACCCTTGCATCCCCACAGTGTACAGCAAGGCACACCGCAAGTTAAGTTGATTCATTATCACTTAAACATTTTCCCAAAGGACAAAGACAAGACTCTTACCGCCCAGAAATCTTCAAAAGAAGACGCAAAAATAACTTAGATACAAAGTGAGCCGCGGGGGGGTGTGGGGGGGGAATCCGAGATGAAAGCCCGATTAGCGTTAGTGTTTCAGACGAGTCTCCTTGAGAACAATGACTTCGTGTTGGTCACCACTATATTCCACGCGCTTAAGCAGTGCCTGCACGTAGTAGGTTATTAACACTAGTCGGTTAAACGAACGAAAGGATCGGCGAATGAATGAACGCACCGAGACTTGCACAGTGCCTGGTGCTTGGCAGCCGCTCAAAGAGGAAGCAGCGGCACAGTGAACCTGGGGAGGGCTCAGGAGGAGCCCTAGCTGAAGAAGTCAAAGCGCAGCCTGCCTATGGACGAATGAGAGTGAGTGGCGGAGAAGACGGCCCTTGGGGTCCTCCCCTTCCCCCGCAGCCCCCGCGCGCCCCGAACCTTGGTGTCCACGTCGGCCAGGCAGTCCCTGCGGAACTGGTCGAAGAGCCCTTGGCTCTTGAGGTGGTTCACGATCATGGCCACGAGCTGCGGGTCTCCGGCACCTGCACCGGCCCCCGCGCCGCCCGCCGCACCCGGGCCACCCCCGGGGCCCGGCGGCGGTGGCGGCGGCTGCGGCTGCGGCGGGGGAGGCGGCGGCGCCGGAGGAGGCGGCTGCGGCTGCGGGTTGGTGGCCATGGAGGCCTGGGCCAGGGAAGGCGCAGGCCCGGGCGGGCGGGCGCTCCTGGTAGGCGGCGGCTGCACCGGTCCCGCCGCCTGAGGGAAGCCAACGGGATGTTGTTACGGAACCAGCGGATCCAGAGCAACCCCGGAAGTGAAAGGGAACCAGGGGAAGAGGGGGGAAAAGGCGGTGACAATAACAAGGAAGGTGCGGCGACGGGGGCCGCGAGGGGCCAGTTCCGGCTGTCCGCGGGCGCCCTCGCGAGGCCGGGCTGCGGCGGAAGTGGCGGCGACAAAGCCGAGCCAGCCGCGGCGTCTGGGCCAAAGGTCAGTATCGGAGCTGGGGGTGGTCCGGCCTGTGAGCCAAGCGACTCTCCTGGCCGGGGGCCGAGGGGGCGCGGGTGCAGAGCTGGCCGGGTGCCTGGTGGCATTTAGGCCTGACGCTCTTGCTCCTGTTTCACCGAGCAGTCGCGATCCGCAGGCATAATGCGAACCGTAGGTGGAACTGCTTATCTAAACTCTCCTACCCTTCTGCGCTCTCAGCCTGTGACCCGCTCCCATTCTCTTCAAGCAGGGAGCTCCAGGGGCCTCCTGTCTCTCTTCCCCTCTCTCCGTCCTGTTTTCCCGTGGGCATCCCCCTCTTACTCTCCGAGGGTGCCTCTGGTCCATCCCTCCAGCATCTTCCCGCCGGTGAAGACAAACACACAAGCTTTTAGTTTTGAGGGTTTGCTATGGATTACTTTAATAGTAGTAACAGGAAACGCTTATAAAGCTCGCATTCTGTGCCCGGCATGGCGCTAAGCGCTTCCTATATGCATTAATTCGTTCAGTCTTTAGAACAACATTGAGCTACGTCTTAGTAAATACTGTCCTCAGTTTGCAAAATCAGGAAACTGCGACATTAAGTAAAATGCCCAAGGTTATACAGACAACAGGCAAATCGGGTGATTCTGGACTGAGTTTTTTTTGTTTTTGTTTTGTTTGTTTTGTTTTTAAATTACTGTTGTAGGTGGTCAAAGTAGAATAAATATTTTTCCCAATTATTTAATGGAATGTAAAGTTTATTGGAAAATACTTTTCTTGGTGAAGTGGATATTTTACTTTTACAAATTCATATGTGTGTGGTTGAATATGTCTCGTTTCTGGAAAGCTGAGCATCACTTCTGTTTTTTCTTTTTTTTAGCTTTTATTCTTATTTCTAATTTTTACATCTGTATGCCCTGAAAAACCGTATTCGTATAAACAAGTACTATATCTGGGAATGGACTTTTATTGTAGCAATGCCATTCAGTTCTTGGTATCAAAAAATTAGATTTGATGACTTACGAGTTCACTGTTCAACCTTCCTTCAAAGCAAAAGAATTGAAAACCACATGACTTGCCAAAGGATTTGTTTATCTAGTCCTTGTTCACGTTTTCAGTTTCTGGGAAATAAACCAAATAGACTTTATTAAAATATCAAACGACTGTAAATGAGACTTTTTTTTTTTTTTTTTCAGTGAGATGTACCTTGTTTAACCTGATATATTCCAAAGTTTGGGGAAAATCTAGACATTGTTCATTTTCATAAATGGTTTCAGATAAAATGCTTTTTTAAATTTTGTTTTGTTATCCTATACTTCAGTTTTGTTTTGGTCAAAACTTTGCAGCTAATGATACAGCTCATTCAGGTTGAAACTTTGTCAAGCATGGAAAGTGTGTCATATACCCTAATTAACAGAGCCTGTTTTCAACATAAAACTAGCCAAATCGGATTCACTTTCTGTGAGAAACAGTTTGGCTTCATTGTTTCAGTTCAAATAAAGTGTCATGCTTTTTGAGAATCTTTATGAAGACTGCAGAGAGAAAAAGTCATGGAATGAATCTTAAAAGATTACTAGAAGCAATGAAAATTAAAATAGTGTAAGACATAATTGTTTTATCCATTTTTAAAATTAGAGAAAATAAGATGCAAATGTGATGTTTCCCTTAATTATCAACAATGCAATACAATATGGTTCTAAATATGTGTTATTTACTAAGTGTATAGTATGATAAGAGCCATGGCATTTGGTATATATAGGTGCATGTATCAAATTTATTCAGCTTTTAGGGAATAACTAAGAATCACCCATAAACATTCAGCAAAACTCCATAAATTTAATTAGGCATAGTGATCTAGGTTTTAAAAATATAATGAAACAATAAGGCATTTGCTGGCAAAAATAAATTGGTTCGGTGGGTAGTGGCTTCTCCCTCTCCCTCTGCCCCTTCACCCTACTGTGTGTTCTCTCTCTCTTTCTCTCAAATAAATAAATAAAATCTTAATTTTTTTGTTTTGTTTTGTGAGTAACATATAGAAAATCCTAAATATTTTCTAAAAGGTAATAAGGTGAGAACTGATTATAATCTAAATAGATGATTCACAATCAATTTTATAAAATGTGTGTTAACTGTTTTACTCAACAATACACATTGAATCTAAAAGAAATAACTGTACCCATGGGTTCAAGTTACACTGGGTATACACATACTAGATACAGTGTAACTTGAACAATTTTGCAGCCTTGTCAACTAGTTACATTGAAAGAATGAGGGTCGCTAATCCTCATTGCTTTGGCTCTTCAAAGGTACTTTTCTTTACTCTTGAAGACAGGTCCTAGAGATGAGTATTGTGAATACCTGGAGGGGAAATGGCATATATTTAAATCTTTTTTTTTTTTTAATCTGTTTTAAGCAGTCATCATTTCTTACCATGACCTCTTTGCTTTGATATCTCTTGTGACAATATAATTGTCTATATAATTTTTGACAATAGTGAGAGTGTGAGGTCTTAAAAAAAAATGCCATTGTTCCCCTACCCCACTGTGTCGGAATTTGGAATATTCTGATAAGGATCAATTGCTTTTCTCAAAGAACATGATTGAGATTTTGTTTCCTAAGTCTGATGCTAAGATGATGGTTAAGAAATTTTATGAGTACTTTGGGAATGAGGGGAATGATATAATATATTGCTAAATCTATGTTATTTATTATGGCAGCAACTTATTGGTAGCCATTTATATCCTTGGACACCATACTCCTGCCAGGTGTCTGGGCTGTTGGGTCCATAATCAAAGGAGCGAGACTGATAACAAAGCGAACGTGAAGCAAAGCTTTATTTCACGCCAAGCATCGAGAATCAAACCGACCTTCAAACCGACCTGTTGGGGCCGTGTCTTACAAAGAGGAGACCTCTCTCTGCCTTACAGACTAGCTTTTAAGGGCAAAGGCTATGTGGTTGGGCCTGGCCATGCACAGGTAGCCAATGAGATTGTAACACACAGAGAAAGCTACACAGTCATGCTAGGTCACACATAAGTGACCAATTGAATTACAATTTACCCTGTAGTAGATATTTGAACTAGCCTATCACCTTGGTCAGAATTGGTGCCCAGAGGGAGGGGCCCATACTCCTTGGTAGCTAGGGAGACAGTATGGGCCCCCACTGATTGGATACCTCTACCTGGCCTGACCTGCCCTTGTATTTGGGCTTTGTTACCTGGGACTGGTTTCTAGGACAGTTTTTAAGTAAGTCCCTTGGGGGGAAGGGGGCAGGGACAGTTTAAGTTCTACTGTATAAACAACAAAATCGCTGTTTAACCGGTTGGAATCACTCTGGCTAAATAGGCCCTTACAGGGCCCTGTGATTTCCCCCTCTTCTACAGACCAGCCTGCCTGACCGCTAACCTCTACCCCATCCTCTAAACTTTGTCTCTGAGGGTTAATCCAGTGAAGGTCAGTGGTTTATGACTATCTCCTAACCCCCAACGAAGCCCATTGGCTTATTGGGCAGGATTGGTTTCTTTCCCTCTCCTCCCCAGGGCTTCCCCACTCCAAATCAGACCCTAGGCCTTGCCTTTCATAATCAAAAGACTGACCAACATTTCCTAAATGACCCTCCATCAACACTGATCCCAGTTGAAACCTCGAAAGTTCATGTTTTCAATGACAATAGAACACGTTTTTAGGTGGGGTTCAAACTCCCACTAAGTTCTTGTGACAGTTTTTGTAAGGTTGTGTGGGAGAGGACAAGTATTATTTGCCTTTCCATAGCAAACTCCAAGCTCACAGCTATCCCTCTATTTCTGCTGCAGTATAAAATCACCAGTACAGGTGGAGATAATAGTTGGGCAGAGCGTTATCAAATGTGAACGTGAAAGGGGGATTGCTTTTTATCTTGAAGGAGCTTGAAAGAATTGCCTTCTTGCTCTGGGGTCAGAACATGGAGGTGGGGTGGTGCAGGGGGATGATAAACTAGAGAGGGGGATGGGTGGTTCCTGGGCAACATTTGGCAGACACTGGAAACCTCATTCCTTGCCATTCTAGGAGTGCTCAAGAATAGGGGTGATTTGGAAATGGGGGCTGTGTGAGCATATGTTACCTGGAAGAGCTGCAGAATTTAAGAAGGCAGCTGAGACCTAGCTGGTAGGAGAATAGATGATGGAACTGGGACAACAAGATAGTGGGAATGGCTACAGAGAATCAGGCTTGGGCTACATAAGCCCCTGGGATATTGGGGCAGGAAATCCAGAGGAGGAGAGAAGTCAGGAGGGGTGGGGGAGGAGTAGGGGAGGGGTGGGAGGCAGGGAATGGACACTTTCTGGTGAAGTGGGACATATCTGTCACCTTAGTTATTCATACTTGATGCGATAGGAGAGTCCTGTGGGGGTAATCAGGAACATTAGCAGTGGCTCTCAAACTTCAGCATGCCTCATAAATCTGGAGGACTGGTCAACACACAGTGCCAACCCATGCCCAGAGTCTAATCTGATAGGTCTGGGTCAGGACCCGAGATTCACTTTTCAGCAAACGCTGAGGGATCACCATCTGAGAAATACCAGACTAGACAAACCACGGACCTAATCCTGTTTACCTGTCTTTATAAATATTAATTGGAACATAGCCACACCTGTTGGGTTTGCTTGGTTTCAATTGTCTGGCTGCTTTGGCTGCAAGGCTACAGCTGAGATGGAGACTGGTTGGCAAAGGTAAGATGAGTTACCATATGGCAATCTGTAGGAAAAGTTTGCCAATCCCTGGGCTGGAAGGAGGCAGCAAAAGGTGTGGTTGTGAGACCTTCCAGTTGGGAAGTCTGTATTGAAGAAGTGCCATTCACTAGATAACAAGTTATTTCTCTGAACAGAGCAAATAATGCTTATTTCACAGGGTAGCCAAGTCATATAAATGACGGTGGTTTATAATATGCGTCCCAGATGAAGTAAATCATTAAGAATGGTTGGAGTTGTGGGACGCCTCTGGGCTCAGTTGGTTAAGCATCTCTCTTTTGTAAAGATACTTATTCATGA